ATAACCCCAATATATAACCTATAATCCCTATATAGCCCAGTATAGTAGTTTCCATTTTCTTTTCCATTATCCCAATAATGGCTATCCTTTTGGGTTGGGCCCCCAGCCGCTAAGAGTGGTATACTAGGAATATTGAAGGACCCCAATATAATTACCATTATCTCCTGAGGTCACTATTAGTGGGTGGGGCCCCAACCCCAGCTATCCTGGCCCAAGCTTTGGATGTTTTGATGGTAGTGTGGGCATGTCAGGATCTACAGTAGGCAAAGAGGCATGCCAGTTCCAAATCCCGTAGTTTGCGCCCCAATGCCAAAGTCTTACACTGTGGAAGCATGAGATACTACCAATATCATGGTCCTAGATTCAGAGTGTAATTAGGGTACCTCAGATAGATCTTCCAGTTATATAATTAACTATTCAGGTTTCCCTACACTACCACACCTTTAAATCTCTATAACACAAATTTGTATTTCATTTTCAAAATTTCCAGTTGATCATCAATTGCTAGGGTTATCTAGAAGAATCTCTGACGAACTGAACCCCCCCCTAAAGCCATTGACAAATCTTAATGGCCAGTTGAAAATGACATCGGTCATCTGAATGTCCCTACATAACCTCTATACAGCCCTATAGAGCCCCATATTCCTGTTGCCATACCAGAGACTGGTACATATGGAGGGTTCTACGGGATGATTTTTGGCTCTTTTGGGGGATCGTAGAGTCTTGCGAGATTGTCCCACATGTAAGTTTCAGATGTATTGAGACTCTTGGTGTGCAACAATTCGAAATCATCTTGCTCGAGTACTGGTTTGAGTGCCTCTTGAACAAATAGTCCTCCTAGCACACCTAAACCCTAAACCCTAAACCCTAACACAGCATGTGCAGGGTTCTCCAACTTGGGTTTCACTGTTTCGGGGTGCAGCTCTGGCCATGAGCACTGCAGCTTCGCATACACTGGCACAAGTGCAAAGTATCTGGCAGTTGCACAAGGCCGGATACAAAGAAAGGCTTCGGATATTTCTCAGCCCAGACATGTATTCTCCTTCATCTATGAAAGTAGATTTTGATACTGGAAAAGGAATGGAAACTAAAGGGATTATACAGGGGCTTTCTAGCGATTATAGGGTATATGTTGGGGTTATATTGGGATAATGGAAAAGAAAATGGAAACTACTATAAAGTTACTTTGCCAGTGCTCTTGGTAAATGATAGAGGCGGAGCTGCTTGAAGGATACCTCCCGTTGGCACTCGTGTTGTCTGTTCATGCAATGTGGAATATCCCACTCTGGTACTGCACGCTTGAATGCCCTAATCTGAGCCTAAACCCTAAACCCTGAGCCCTGCATCCTAGACCCGAAAGCCAGTCCACCAAAAGGTTGCACATCGATATTCTCAACTTTTATCACCTCAGCAAGTACCTCATCCTACCAATGACGCAGCGGCTCATCTGCAGAGGACAGAGACAAGTGTAAAGCATTGACGTTGCAGCTGTGACTACAGGTAACCCGGTAGACTTGACCTTTCAAGATTAGGGTTCGGTTTCACACTGCAAGGACTTGAAGTCTTGGAGTTAGTTGATTTAGCTGGGTTGCAGGTCCTACTTGCGCCTTGCAATTCTGTGACCCGTCCTCCTTCTCAGCAGGTATGTACGGACAGCTGGTTGAAACATTGTATGCGGTAAATGCATTTTCAACGTTTGTTTTACTTGATGGACGTAAGCCGGCAACACAAGAGCCAACAGCCGCCACAAACCACAAGACTCAAATCCCTCAACGTCCTGGAAGCCTTTCACCAGAGACCGCAAGCTTCAATACCAATCAGTCGATATGCCAACAATGTCTCCCAGATTGCACATGTTGAAGCGTTACCAACCCTATATAACCCTAAAGCAGGTTCCCAAACAGCGGGAAAATCCTC